CGGTGGGAAGTAAAAGATCAACTCTTAATGCCCGGGAGATCATCAACCGGAAGAGAAATCAACAGTTGTATGAGTCGGCTTCTACGTCGAACTTTCCCGACAGCTTCAACAACACCCTTGCAGGGAATGCACTTTCCCTGCATGAGAGCCAGACAGGTGGTAATACCATCCATTCTGGCCCTCAGATGATTGGAACTGTACCGTATGCACCTTCTCAGGTTTACGGTCAGTATCCCCCTCACTTCATGCAGCCGGCCTTCTTCGGAGGTCAGGCGACATATAACAATGTCCAGCCACTGGACTGGCAACTTCGTCTGCTCTGCCTGGGTGAACAACATTCTGCATTCACCCGGGAGATAACTGAGGAGGCACAGCCGGCCAAGGTTAAAAATGTGTTGGTAGGTACCTATGATGGTACCACCAACCCGGAAGATCACCTCATGGCATACACCAACCTCATGTACTTACAAGGGTTGGTTGATGCTACTTGGTGCCGATGTTTCTCGGCTACATTGAAGGGCATTTCCCAACAATGGTTTGGCAACTTGCCAGCCGGGTCCATTGATAGTTTCAGAAAGCTTGCCTTCCTGTTCGCTTCCAACTTCTCAATGAACATCCCTGCTTAGAAAACAAGTCTTGACTTGAGAACCATTAAGCAGGGAGAGAGAGAAGGGATGCGCTCCTATGTCAGGAGGTTCAATCTGATCAGAATTCAGATTCAAGGACTATTTGAAGAGGTAGCTTTTACAAACTTTTTCAAGGGTCCGAGAGACGGGTCGACCTTTATGTTCGACCTAGTCAGAAAAGGGGCTTTCACTTTACAGGCGGCCCTGAGGGACTAATAAGAAGAACCTGAAAGGAATAGTGTCCTTCAAACAAGTGTATTATTCTGATAGCGGGTTCAGAATTATTAGAAAGCTAATATATTCTGTAAGGTCAAGTGATCGGAATGCCTAGGTGGAGGCCGCTTCCGATCAGTAATATTAATATAATTAATATTACAGCTTAATCTTAACTGAACCCTTCGGGTCACACCCAAGCAAAATATACGAACCAACTCGACGAATTAATTCGGAAGAAATGAATTCGTCGCCCGAGTGTTAAACATTTAGACGTCGGAAATTCGAGCTTGGAGCGTCGAAACCGAGCGTCGGAGAATCTCAAATGTCGAGCCAAATATTTAGGATTTGGCGAGACGGGACAATGCATCAAGTAACAAGTAAAATCCTAGCCACGCAAAAGGCTAGGAATGCATGCCCAATAGGAGCATGCCACGTGGCAGCACACGTGGCCGCCACGTTGGCAGCCACCAAGTGGCAGCGTGCCACATGGCAGCACCATGGTGGCGGCGCGCCACGGTGGCGACACATGTGGAAATGGTCGTGGGCCCGGGTTGATGGGCCATGGACACGGGCCAAAATAATATGGGCCAACCGAACCCAACTTGGGGCTCAAGGTTGGGTGACACATGGTTAGTTCACATTGCATGTGAAATGCCTTGGGGACCAAGTGAGAAAGTGGTCTACACCTAACCATGTGACACTTGTTACTTGTTCCTTTGTTTATTTAACTAAGGGTTGAATTCACCAATCTTTCCATGTGGGATCTTTTTGTGAAAAGTCCCACATTGAAAGATGAGTGAAATTCACAAGGCATACTTCCTTATAAATAGTCATGGCATGGCTAGAGAATTCTTTGCTTGAGTGGGAGTTAAAAAGAGCATTCCATAATTTTGGGAAAACTCTTAAACTCATATAACACTCGGGTTTTGGTCGGACCTCGCTAACCCCCAGGTAGTAGACCTTAAAGTTGTGTTCGCCTTTTTGTGGGTGGATACCGTCGGAGGCGCGACGCTTGACGTGCTCGTAGCTTTCAAGTAAGAGCCCCGGTTTTTGGGCGAAGCTCGCTTCGAGGGTAAGATTCGTTATCTTTTCTTTGTGATTATTTATTTATGCTTTATGATTTTAATTATTGCGAGTGGTTCCTCGGGTCTGGGTTCTTTCCGCGGTGAGTCGGACTCACCAAACCCCAACAGCGGTATCAAAGCCCCACTCGTTTATTTTTATAATCATGTTTTTCAAGGTTTATTTTGCTTAATTTTCTGGTTTAAGTTGCTAAATAGATTAGTAGCTCGGTTTTATTTATTTTAATCCCGTTTTTAATGTTGAGTTTGGCCCAGAACCCAGATTTTCTCCATAGACTAGTGAATTTTGGGTGGAAAACGTGTTCTGGAAAGGTTTTATCCCCAAGGGCACTGTGATTTTAGCCAAATTCTTACCAGAAATGCCTTTTTCGAGGGGTTTTTCGTTTCTGACGAAAAATTTTAAGTCTTTTCTAACCTTGAAATTAATGGCATAAATTGTTGATTATATGGTTGATTATTTGTATTATTTTCTGCATTTTTATGTCCCCTTAAAGCACACTTACTTGGTAGTATTTGATGCTTAAAGGTTGATTTATTTTCACATAATTGCAAACTAATTGCTTTTTAGTGTTATTTTTGAGGCTTCCTAAGTGTTAAAGATTCAATCTTTATTTGTGATAAGTGATTGAAACTTTAAAAACCACTAAATTCCATGTTTTTTTGTGTTAAACTTTGATGTTTTAATCATTTTGAGTTGATTGGAAACATAAAGTTTCGATTTTTGTGATAGAAATTTGGTTATCTTCATGTTGGAAGATATAATTTTCAAGGATTCACAAAATTTAGATTTTGGAATTTTCATTTGAACATTAAAGTTCATATTTTTCCAACTTCCCTTTACTTTGTCAAATTCTCAAGTTTAATTTAAATTGATTAAATTGAAAGTGAGAAATTGCCTCAATTTTATGTTGCACAAAGCTAAACCAATTTAATTAAGAATGGTTCTTGGAATTATTTTGGTTATTTGCACTTTGAAAATTTTATTAAGTTAGACTTGTTTAAAATTTTATTTTGCTCTCTAAATTAGTTCTAAAATTAATTTAGAATTAATTATTTTTGTCTCGCAAAAAAGGATCAAATCCCGAGGCCGTGGCACGCAAAACGAGGCATTGCATCACCTTGGCAAGCCGGGTTGCATAGCAGCCCATATGTGGCTGCCAAGGTGGCAGCGCCGCATTACTTGCGGCCACACGCGCGGCAGCAGCCACGCACGGCAGAAGCACACGTGTGGCAGCAGCACTCGGGCTGCAGCAGCCACGCGCGGCTGTGCCGTGGCAGCAACTCGCAGCCGTGTGCCGTGGGCCGTGTATTGGTGGTCTTGGCGTGTGTGTATGCTTGGTGCGGTGAGGTGGCTAGCCGTAGTAGGCTTGATGTTGCTTATTTTGCCGTTTTATTTATTTTAATTAATTTTGTTTATTTTAATTAAAATTTTGGGAGGCTAGGCCTCAGTTTTGAGCGGCATTGGCAAAATTTCATTTTGACAAGTTTGGGTGCTACCGACTTAATTAATTAGATTAATTAAGGAAATACGGAATTTAGTGGGAGCTTCAATTATTAATGACGTAAATTATATAATCGGTTAAACAACTTTGACTAGTTTTAATTAGGCGTGTTAATCGGATTAAAAACCACCTAGATTAGTTACTAGTGCGCGCGTTGTTTAAATGCATTTTACTTGTTTGATTTTGTAAATTGCATGGGCCATTCACAAATAGGGAATGGATGAATGGAATATATGATGCAAGTCTAAGCATGGAGAACTTCGAAGATTTGCTTATCATGCATCAAGATAGTTTATCCCTAAACATTAATTCAAGCCAAGAATTGCATGGACACTTTCTTGGATATCAAAGCAAAGCCACGGTTTGCTTAGTGGTTTTTCTTGGAGTCTAGTTCACTTTCTTGAACTTTCTTGAATTTTCTTTACTTAGATTTTGCTTACAAGTTTTTACCTTTCACTTGAAAGGGTTTTTCTTGGTTCAAGCATTAGGATCTTTAATCTTTATTTAGTTCTTTAATTTTTATTTATTTATTTAGTTGCTTTAAAAATCAGTTAGCTAGCAAAAATAATCAGTTTAGGCGTGTGCTTGTTCTCCAAGGAGTTTGGTGTATGCTTGTGCGCCAAGGTGCTTGCTCTTCAAGCAAGTTAGAATTCTAGTTTAATTAGGATTGAATTAGGAACTTGTCCTAATCTTCCTAGGTAAACTAAGTCTTATAAATAGGGCTGTAAAACACACGAATAAACATAGAGATTAATATTCAGATTTATTTCTCAAGTTGCATACTTGAGTTTTTGTTGATTGCGATCAATTGCTGTTTTGCTTGTTTTAGTTAAAACATTCGTTGGATTGTTTAATTAGGTGGATTCTTAATTGATTAATCTTAGTTTTTTGTTTAATTCTTGGTGGATTTCCTGTATAGAATTAGACTTAAACATATCCCTTGTGTTTTGTTGATTTTCGGATCAATAATTCACATCATCTTTGGTATCAGAGCAGGTTTGCGCAACTTCGGTAAAAATTAAATTGGGAACAATTGGCTGAGACGTTTTACGTGATTCTTTTTGCATTGAACTCTAAAAACGTCCATCTACCACCATATAAAATTTCATAATTTGTATTTGAGTAACGCGCTCTACACAGTCTCAAACGTGTGATGTTTGTGCACTGATTTGCGGTTGGGAGTCCGGTTTTTGTGTTGCCTAGTTTTCCCTCAAGATTCGATCTTTTAATCAAGATTTTTGAATGACCTGACTTGGTTTGTGTAGGAATCATGTGTGACGAGGAGGTTCCACAGGTTTTAAGGGGATTAACCTTAGAACAGGCTCAAAATCTTAGAAGAGATAGGCGAATTGACGAGTTGGCAGCAAGGATGGATGAGATATTAAAAAGGCTTGATACTCTTGCTGGAGATTCTTCAAGGAAAGGGAATTCTAACCCTAATTCTGTTTCAAGTGAGGAAGAACAACCAAGGAGGAACCTAAGGAGGCCAAGAAATAATTATTCCTAGGAGAAGAGATAGACCAAAGGATGATGATAGGAACCTAAGATTAGATCTTCCCGAATTCAATGGGAGTATGAATGAACCTGAAAAATACTTTGAGTTGATTAGAAGGGCCGAGACACTCTTTGATTACAAGGTGTATGATGAAAGGAAAAGATGCAAATTGGCTGAATTAAAACTGGCCGGTTATGCTAGTCTTTGGTATGATAATCTAAAGAAGAAGAGGCATAAGGAGGGGCATGCAAGAATCTCAACTTGGGAACAATTCAAGAAGCACATGAAAAAAAGGTTCGTACCTAGTGATTATATTCAAGATGTTTATCTGAAGATGCAACTTTTTAAACAAAATTCTATGACTGTTGAGAATTATATTGGTGAATTTGAAAAGTTATGCATGCTATGTGGCTTAGAAGAGATTGTTGAGCATAAGATTGCTAGATTTATTTCGGGGTTGAATGATAATATTGCTGAAAAAGTTGAATTGCAACAATATCGGTCCTTTGATGATGTTTGCAAGGTAGCTTTGAAAGTTGAAAAACAAATAAAGGGGAAGAAAGGGACGTACACTAAGCCCTTTGTAAAAGGTTTCACTAAACCTTTTGAGAGGAACAGCTTGGAGAAAAGTGGTTCTAGTTCGAACTACAAGGAGACTAAATCAAAATTTGAAGCTCCTACAAAGCTTGTTGAAGATAGGAAGTGCTTCAAGTGTGGTAGTGTTGGTCACATTGCAACTAATTGTCCATCAAAAAGAGTAATGACTACTCAAGAGTGGGAGCAAGAACAAGCTAAGTGTGAGCAAGGTAGTGACTATGTAGAAAAGAACGAAGAGGAAAACTTTGAAGAAGAGGAGGGGCATATTGACGAAATTGATCCCGAGACTCATGGTCAAAGTTTGGTTCTAAGAAGGGCACTACACTCTAAAACCGTACCTATGGAAAACAATCAAAGGGAGAAAATCTTTCTTACAAGGTGCAAGGTAGAAGATAGGTTGTGTGACATGATCATAGACACGGGGAGTTGCACTAATGTGGTATCTACTACTTTGGTAGACAAATTGAAGTGGCCAACTACTGAACATCCAAGCCCTTATAAGCTTAATTGGCTTAATAATTTGAGTGATGTTAAAATAACTAAACAAGCCTTAATCTCCTTTTCAATTGGTAAATTTCATGATAAAGTTTTGTGTGATGTTTGTCCTATGGATGCTTGTCATATACTATTAGGCCGTCCTTGGCAATATGATAGATTTGTGAAGTTTGATGGAAGGACTAATGTGTATGTTGTGAGAAAAGGAGAAAAACAGAGACCGGTTGCTTTAAAACCTTTGATAAGCAACAAATCTTCTAATGTTACCTCTAATTTGAAGAGTTCTTATTTGATTAGTGAGAGGGAATTAGAAAAAGAGATTTGCAGCAACAATGTGGTATATATACTTGTTTCTAATGAGATTCGAATTGATCAAAATAAACAAGAAAAGAGGTCGTATGAATTGGAATCTGTTTTAGAAGAATTCAAGGATGTCTTTCCTAAGGAATTACCTCCGGGACTACCTCCTATTCGTAGGATAGAGCATCAAATTGACTTGATTCCGGGAGCACCACTAACTAATAAGGCAGCCTATAGAAGTAGTCAGGAAGATACAAAGGAGATGCAAAGGCAGATTGAAGATCTTATGGCTAGAGGATACGTGAGGGAAAGTATGAGCCCTTGTGCCGTGCCTACTTTACTTGTCCCAAAGAAAGATGGGACTTGGCGCATGTGTATTGATAGTAGGAGTGTGAATAACATCACTATCAAATACCGATTTCCTATTCCAAGGTTAGATGATCTACTTGATTAACTACATGGTTCAAAGTTGTTTTCTAAGATTGATCTTATGAGTGGTTATCATCAAATTCGAATGAGAGAAGGAGATGAGTGGAAGATAGCATTCAAGACTAAGTTAGGGTTGTATGAATGGTTAATGATGCCGTTTGGACTCACTAATGCACCTAGCACTTTCATAAGGTTGATGCATGAGGTACTTAAACCTTTCCTTGGCAAGTTTGTTGTTGTTTATTTAGATGATATTTTGATATACTCTAAAAATTTGCATGATCATCTAAATCATCTAACAAGTGTTTTTGAAGTGTTAAGAGAGAATAAACTCTATGCTAAGCTTGAAAAATGCTACTTCTTAGTGCCTAGTGTTACTTTTCTTGGTTATGTTGTATCAAAGGATGGAGTTTCAGTTGATCATTCGAAAGTAGAAGCTATTAAAACTTGGCCTATTCCTACTAATATGAGTGAAGTAAGGTCTTTTCATGGTCTAGCTTCGTTCTATAGAAGATTTGTCAAGAATTTCTAAAGTATTGTGGCGCCTATGACTGAATGTTTGAAGAATGACAAGGGTAAATTCGAATGGACTAAAGAAGCTCAAAGTGAGTTTGAGTTGGTTAAAAAGAAGCTATGTGAAGCACCTATACTTGCGTTACCAGATTTCTCAAGTCCTTTTGAAGTTCAAACCGATGCAAGTGGAGTTGGAATTGGAGCAGTTTTACTCCAAAAGAAGAGGCCTATTGCATATTTCAGTGAGAAATCGGGAGGAGCTCGATTGAACTATTCTACTTATGATAAAGAGTTCTATGACATTGTTAGAGCTTTAGATCATTGGAGTCATTATCTCCGACCTAATCACTTTGTGTTGCATTCTGATCATGAAGCATTGAAGTTCATACATGGACAACAAAAGCTCAATCCTAGACATGCTACGTGGGTTGAATTTTTACAATCATTTAATTTTTCTTCAAGGTACAAAGAAGGGAAATCGAATGTTGTGGCTGATGCATTATCTAGAAGATACACTTTGATTGGAATTCTAAATAGCAAGCTACTTGGTTTTGAATTGATCAAAGAATACTACAAAGGTGATGATGATTTTTCTACATTGATTGAAGAGTGTTCTAAAGGAGCCGTGGGTTCTTATTTGCTGCAAGATGGTTTTCTTTTCAAAGGAAATCGACTTTGTCTTCCTAAGTGTTCTATTAGAGAGCTAGTTGTTAGAGAAGCTCATAGGGGAGGAATTGCTGGTCACTTTGGCATTACAAAGACCTTGAGTATGTTACAAGAACACTTCTATTGGCCTAAGATGCTCACGGATGTGCAACTAGTTATTTCTAGGTGTGCAACTTGTCAAAAAGCGAAGGCTACTTTTCATCAAGGCTTGTATACTCCTTTACCCGTTCCATATTCACCTTGGGAAGATATTTCTATGGATTTTATTGTGGGATTGCAGAGAACACAACGGGGGAAAGACTCTATTATGGTTGTTGTGGATAGGTTCTCTAAGATGGCTCATTTTGTTCCTTGTCACAAAGTGGATGATGCTATGAAAGTGGCGGAATTATACTTCAAGGAGATTGTTAGATTGCATGGAATTCCGAAAACTATTGTGAGTGATCGAGATACAAAGTTCATGAGTTTCTTTTGGAAGTATTTATGGAATCTTGTGGGAACTAAATTACTCTTTAGTACATCTTACCATCCACAAACTGATGGACAAACCGAGGTTACTAATCATACTCTTGGTGCGCTTTTGCGTGGGTTAGTGAGTAGACACAAAAGGATTGGGACATCAAGTTAGCTCATGCGGAGTTTGCTTATAATAGATCACCTACATATGCTACCAAACATAGTCCTTTTGAGGTAGTCTATGGAGTCAATCCAAAACTTCCAATTGATCTTGTTCCATTGCCTAAGGGTGAGTTAATTCACAAAGATGCCGAGTCTAAGTTGAAGAGTATGCTGAAATTACATGCTCAAGTTCGAACAAGAATAGAGAAAGTAAATGACATGTACAAAGCTAGAGCAAACAAACATAGAAAGCAACAAGGTTACAATGTTGGAGACTTAGTATGGTTACATTTGAGAAAGGAAAGATTTCTAGGAAAACGCAAGAATAAGTTGATGCCTAGAAGTGAAGGTCCTTTTAAGATTATTGAGAAGATCAATGACAATGCTTATAAGTTAGAACTTCTGGGAGAATATGGAGTTAGTGCTACATTCAATGTTGGCGATTTGGCTAAGTATATTCCTGATGAAGAACTTCGAGATTTGAGGACAAATTCTTTCAAAGAAGAGGAGGATGATGCAAGTCTAAGCATTGAGAACTTCGAAGATTTGCTTATCATGCATCAAGATAGTTTATCCCTAAACATTGATTCAAGCCAAGAATTGCATGGACACTTTCTTGGATATCAAAGCAAAGCCACGGTTTGCTTAGTGGTTTTTCTTGGAGTCTAGTTCACTTTCTTGAACTTTCTTGAATTTTCTTTACTTAGATTTTGCTTACAAGTTTTTACCTTTCACTTGAAAGGGTTTTTCTTGGTTCAAGCATTAGGATCATTAATCTTTATTTAGTTCTTTAATTTTTATTTATTTATTTAGTTGCTTTAAAAATCAGTTAGCTAGCAAAATAAATCAGTTTAGGCGTGTGCTTGTTCTCCAAGGAGTTTGGTGTATGCTTATGCGCCAAGGTGCTTGCTCTTCAAGCAAGTTAGAATTCTAGTTTAATTAGGATTGAATTAGGAACTTATCATAATCTTCCTAGGTAAATTAAGTCTTATAAATAGGGTTGTAAAACACATGAATAAACATAGAGATTAATATTCAGATTTATTTCTTAAGTTGCATACTTGAGTTTTTGTTAATTGCGATCAATTGCTGTTTTTCTTGTTTTAGTTAAAACATTCGTTTGGATTGATTAATTAGGTGGATTCTTAATTGATTAATCTTAGTTTTTTGTTTAATTCTTGGTGGATTTCCTGTATAGAATTAGACTTAAACATATCCCTTGTGTTTTGTTGATTTTCGGATCAATAATTCACATCAATATATATATTCTCTCTCACAGGTTTTATGAAATGGCAACTAGTGGGACCCGACTAGGATAGAAAATACGGACTGCGTGCCGTTATGTATTTTTGTAAATCTAAATACGGTCTACGCACCGTGAAGTATTTTTGTACTTTAATATTTAGATTATTCCTAGTTGTAGACACTAGTTTTTGCATAGTTTGGTTAAGTCTTGAAGACGGCGTATCTTGGAAGACAAAGCCTTGAATTGCAAATGAAGACCTTTTGAAGATATGAAGATTTCAAGGGGTCATGCTAGTTGCCAATATGCATCTATAATTTTGCTTTATATTTTATGCTTATATATATGTGTGAATTATTCATTAGATGCATGTTTAGGTTTTCTTGATGTTGCGATGATTAGTTAAGTTCACTTAAATCAACCAACATAGAAATCCTAGGCCCCTAATAATATTGAGTCAAACTTGCCTTTCCAAAACAACACTTACTAATCGAACGAGAGTGATGGTAGGCTACGCCAAAGCGAGGTGCCATCACTTCTCCAAGGGACATAAGGCACACCGGGTGTGCACGTTGGTTTTGGTTTAACTCATCGGTATGAGTGAGGAGTCCTCACATACCATGGCAAAAGAGATACATCGTCAAAGATGCATTAGATGCGACGATTATCTAACCAAGAGTTGCTTAGAGTCATTAGCAAGGCAATGCTTACCCAAGAAGATTGAGTGTTTAAGACAAGCCAAAGCATGCTTAACCACTCTTTGTTTCTTTGGATCTTGGAATCGCCTTATTTTCGCCAAATAGGGACAATTATTATGCGTAAATAAGACGTTTAATAAGATTGAAGTTTGCATAAATGCTATTAAATTTCAAACTTATTATGTTCTTGATAAATGGTTATACTTAGCACTTATATTTATAGTATTCTAAATCAAATAATATTGTTTCCATGATTGGTAAAGGAAATCCTTGAGAATAGTTCTCAAAGAAAGGAAAAGCATTTCTAAAACACAACTCTCATAAATGACTTTTATAATTAAGTCTGAAAGGACGGTTGGACATCATGTATTCAAAATACTAGGTAGTTTTGATAAAACATGAGGTATTGAGTTGCAAACTCAAGATTGTCAATGTTTGACAACCAACGTATCTTTTCGCATCACAATTGAGTAGGACTCATTGATGTAGTAATTCGAGTAAGAATTAATGGAAAAGATGAAACTTTGTTCAAACGGCGCACTAGGTGCTTGATTATGCCTAACAAAGTATAAGAGTCAAGGTACTTAAAGAAATTATTCTTAAAGTAAGATTATGAGATATTGCATGATAAGAAATATAGGAAAGAAGGAACGAAGAAAAGGAATTAGATTTCATTTCAACTCATGAACTCATGTTATTGTAGTTAACTCAACAATTCGTTATCTTCACAAGTATCGGATACTGCTTGAGTGTTCCACTATGTGAGTGACCTCAAACTATTGAAGTTAAGCTAAGTTATCGACTTACAAGCTTAGAATGAAGCAAGAAGAGCTACATCAGTTGTAAGGTCGTATGTTTTGTTTAAAGACCTTTTAAGCCAAAGGCTGGAACAAGTAATTGTTATTATGTCCCATAATCAGCAATTGATCCGTTTACACACGGAAAGACTCACATTCAAAATAATGAGCAATAGTTGCGAGATTTATTTGAATGACATGGTTATCCAAGCATTGGGTCAAGAATGCCTGATTATAAACAAACATTTCTCTAACATGATAAACTCACTAAGTTCAAGTCATGGGCTTGATTTGCGTTCCAAACATCTTTAGCAATGTCACATCGACAAGAACGTACTCATGGCTCTATTAGATAGGCTCTTGATAGTTGCTTGAATTGGAATCGTTCTAAGACAAGAAAGTCTTACTTGTTGAAACCGAAAAAGCAGAGAGCTATTGTTCTTGGTATAGACAATTGACTCCGAAGGCTAAAGAGGATTCAATTACTTCA